CATGGAGAACTTTATGAATTAGATCACTTTCCTTAGGTTTTCATGGAGATCTTTATGAATTAGATCACTTTCCTTAGGTTTTCATGGAGAATGGCAAGTCTCATTTCAAGCTGCCGCCACAAAGTGGAGCTCCAGAATCATTTATTGTTTTACATTGTTTTGTCAGTCCGTTTTATATCATGGTAAGACTTTAATTCTGGCTCCATTAACTTGAATGCTAGAAATCTAACAGTTACCTCCATATTTTGATATATATATCCTGAAGAATACTACTATTATTTGCTGAATGTAGGTCACTGTGACTTCCACTTTATGTTTTACTGAGGCAGTTAACTGTTGTTTACAGAAAATCGCCACAATATGGACCAGGAATATGAGGAGGCGTCCCTGGGATGTTGTGGGATTATCCTGATGGGATTCTCCTTTCTACTAATCCTGATATTTTTTCCATTCTCCATGTGTGTCTGTATGAAGGTAAGAACAATTGCTGCGACGAGATTTTAAAGACATCACGACAAAAAGAAATATTATCCATTGTCACCCTTCTAATTTGTAACACTATTTCTTATTGGATATCTTGCAGCCCCTGCTCTGCCTGTGTCTGTAAAAGTATGTGCAAAGGGAGATAATTCAAACTAGAATTTCTCTTAATAACAACAAAGGTGGCGTCCGACACACACAAGAGTCAAGGTTTGCCAATTATTCACAGGATGAAATAGCTTACAAGCAATCTAAAACGACAGCAAATTCAACGAAACAGGCAATGATAGGGCCGCTAAGGGTGCTACATGTAATAACAAAGATGGTTGTGTATTGTGCGAGATATTACCGAAAAGGTGTCCGGTACAGTAGGGGCTATTTTTGTAGCAGTCAAGTTAAAGTTAAGTTCAAAATAATTAATTAAAGATTATCAGGGTTATCTCTGGGTTAGGAGGGGTCTATGGGCTCTGGTCTTTATAGACCCCGAGCCGAAGCCTAACCCAAAGATAACTAATAGTAACATCTGTCCCTTGTTTTCATCGAGATATTATTGATTTTATATTTTTTCGTTGTTACAATTTTGTCAACACTGGCAAACTTGTATCTTTCAAAAACCAGTTTTAATGAACAAATTTTGTATTTGCTATAAGGTTTGTCTTCTGATTGAAGTATAGTAAATTCCTGAATGTCTGCTTACAGATGGTACAAGAGTATGAAAGGGCTGTGATATTTAGATTGGGGCGAATCAAGGCTGGCGGAGCGCAAGGACCAGGTAAACTGATAATTTTATTTAACTCTACTTCATACAAATAAAATTGCTATTTATTGATGATAATAATAATTTGAGGTTCTTATATACTGCTTTATCACAAACTCGTTCGTGGGTCATCTCAAAGTGGTTCAAAATTATTATCCGTGGTTATAGGGCCTTTGCAACCATCCAATATCCTTTTCAACTCCCTGGGGAGCCTACAGCCGGTTCTGCCATTTTGGTGCTCGCACCTAGCTTCAACAATTCTAGCACTGCCCAACCACATACTCATATACAGCTGAGTAGACTGGAACAAATGAAGTAAAGTATTTTGCTCAAAGATACAACATAGTGCCGTGCCGTGCCGTGCCGTGCCGTGCTGTGACTCAAACCCGCAACCCTTTGATCACAAGCCCGGCGTCCTACCACTAGACTATTGTGCCTCCTGATACAAGAAATTCCAACCACATTGATTAGAAAATACATAACAAAGACTAAGTGCAGTAAAACCTCATTATACTGCCACTATTTTAACATTATAAAAGGTTTGGTGATAAATTGAGGGAAACGTTTGAAGAAAATCTTAATAGAAGAAAAAAAGGGACCTCGAAAATGTATGATATGTTTAATAATCTGTATGATAGTGAACAAAGTTCTTTTTTAACTGTTGTGTTTATTTTTAAGGTATGTTTTTCATTGTGCCCTGTATGGATGACATACAAAAGGTAGATCTGAGGACCAAAACATTCAACATTCCACCACAGGAGGTACAGTAATATTGATACTCCACTGTATAATGGGAAACATTGACCCTGTGTCAGTCAAATCTGTATGATACTCCACTGTATAATGGGAAACATTGCCCCTGTGCCAGCCAGTCAGATCTGTATGATACTCCACTGTATAATAGGAAACATTGACCCTGTGCCAGTCAGATCTGTATGGTACTCCACTGTATAATGGGAAACATTGACCCTGTGCCAGCCAGTCAGATCTGTATGATACTCCACTGTATAATGGAAAACATTGACCCTGTGCCAGCCAGTCAGATCTGTATGATACTCCACTGTATAATGGGAAACATTGACCCTGTGTCAGTTAGATCTGTATGATATTCCACTGTATAATGGGAAACATCGACCCTGTGTCAGTCAGATCTGTATGATATTCCACTGTATAATGGGAAACATCGACCCTGTGTCAGTCAGATCTGTATGATGCTCCACTGTATAATGGGAAACATTGACCCTGTGCCAGTCAGATCTGTATGATACTCCACGGTATAATGGGAAACATTGACCCTGTGCCAGCCAGTCAGATCTGTATGATACTCCACTGTATAATGGAAAACATTGACCCTGTGCCAGCCAGTCAGATCTGTATGATACCCCACTGTATAATGGGAAACATTGACCATGTGCCAGCCAGTCAGATCTGTATGATACCCCACTGTATAATGGGAAGCATTGACCCTGTGCCAGTCAGATCTGTATGATACCCCACTGTATAATGGGAAGCATTGACCCTGTGCCAGTCAGATCTGTATGATACCCCACTGTATAATGGGAAGCATTGACCCTGTGCCAGTCAGATCTGTATGATACTCCACTGTATAATAGGAAACATTGACCCTGTGCCAGTCAGATCTGTATGATACCCCACTGTATAATGGGAAGCATTGACCCTGTGCCAGTCAGATCTGTATGATACTCAACTGTATAATGGGAAACATTGACCATGTGCCAGTCAGATCTGTATGATACTCCACTGTATAATAGGAAACATTGACCCTGTGCCAGTCAGATCTGTATGATACTCCACTGTATAATGGAAAACATTGACCCTGTGCCAGCCAGTCAGATCTGTATGATACCCCACTGTATAATGGGAAGCATTGACCCTGTGCCAGTCAGATCTGTATGATACCCCACTGTATAATGGGAAACATTGACCCTGTGCCAGTCAGATCTGTATGATCCTCCACTGTATAATGGGAAACATTGACCCTGTGTCAGTCAGATCTGTATGATACTCCACTGTATAATGGGAAACATTGACCCTGTGCCCGTCAGATCTGTATGATACCCCACTGTATAGTACAGTATTTGCATTGGTGACTTAAATAATACAACCACAAAGTTATTCAAACATTTATGCGTCATCAATTGGTTCAAGTTCGTGGTACTTTGTTTTAATGGTCAAGAATCATTTACAAAATTTTTGTCAGTCACAGACACAGAAGAAATAAAGTTGTGAAAAAGGTATAGGTCAAGGTCAAAGTATATTACAATAGTCCAGTCCCCTTTAACTCATTCACCCCTGAAACTTCATAATGAACTATACCAACCTTTGAATTTGGAGAGTTCAAATGTGTCTTCAGGGTTGAATGAGTTACAGAGAACACAAGGTTCACATATGAATTGACTCCTATGAGCATGCAGTGGGATACAGCAGGTCAATTATTTTCCCAAACTTGTAAAGGTGATTTATTTTAAAAATGGAATTGTAACAATGCTTCACAAATGTCTCACAAACCTGCACAGTTAAAAAAACTACCAAGATAAAGAAAGTTATGCCTCCTCACCTGTGTGTTTGTAAATGACAGTGTGTTTTCTCCCCTAGATTCTGTCCAAGGATACAGTGACTGTGACAGTTGACGCTGTGATATATGCCTCTATTTATGACCCTGTCAAGTCTGTGTGTAACGTCGCAGATGCAATGCATGCCACCACCCTGCTGGCTGCCACCACCCTCAGAAACACACTGGGTACACACACGATGGCGGAGATGTTACAACAACGGGAGAACATTGTGCAAATCATGCAGGTACAGAGTTCACATGTACTACTCATTACGATTAGTTATCTGGCCCAATTCCCAAAATTACCTCCCTTTTCAGAAAGACGGATGAAGGTACTTTAAAAAAGCTACTTGTATATTCTAACAAAATTGTTTAGGTGTCGTGTATATGACCATGACCTTAAATTTGTACCACATACTAGGTAAAGGTCGTGAACACACTGTTGTATATTCATAACAATACCACAAGGAACATTGGCTTGTTATTTACCTTTTTAATGAGGCATTTATTTATGATGAGATGATTTACGACCCGACAGGCATCAACCTAGCCAAATGTATATTATTATCTGTTCAGATTTGTGATGTCATCAATTAACTCTGATGTGGTCTCATACTCTTTGGGAAAAATCATAATAATCACTGAGATATGGTTAGGTTTCTTTCTTGATAACGGTAATTTGAAGTAACATAATTTTTAGCTCACCTGGTCCAAAGGACCATTGTGAGCTTATGCAATACTGCAGCGTCCATCGTCCATCTGAGTCATCCGTCCATTGTACGTTCGTCTGTCAACTTTTCTTCTAAAATGCTACTAGTCCTGAACCACCCAGTAAATTTTTACTAAATTTGTTCTGGAGCATCCTGATGCCAAGGGGACTCAATTTTGTATTAACTAATGGTGGGTGTAAATTAGTAAATGAGAACTCTTCTAGGGCCAGAGGGGCAGAGCCCAATAGGGAAAATAGAGGTAAAATCTTTAAAATCCTCCTTTTATAGGGATTAAGGGATTTTATCCTAATTTAGTCTGCAGCATCCTTGGGCCCAATACAATATATAGAGGATTAGCTTTAATATCCTTCCCCTTCTGTTTGGATGAAGGTATTTTTACCAAATTTGAACAGTAGCATCCAATGGGGAAGGGAAATCAATTTTGTATAAATGGTGAGTCTGAACCCCCTGGGGGCAGAGGGGCGGGGCTCAATAGGGAAAATAGAAAAATAGCTTTAAAATCCTTTTCCTTCTGTAGGAATGACAGGATTTTGTCTATATTTGGTCTAATGCATCCTTGGGTAAAGGGGACTTAATTTTGTATAAACCGTGGGTCTGACCCTCTTAGAGGCAGAGACGCGGACCAAATAGGAGAACCATAGCAAATTCTTTAAAATCTTTCTTCTTCTGTAGGACAGAACTTTGTCCAAAATTGGTTTAGAGAATCCTCGGGTGAAGGGGACAAAATTTTGTATAAAGGGTTGGTCTGACCCCCCTTGGGGCAGAGACGCAGGGCGCAATACTGGATATAGAGGACTAGCTTTAAAATCCTTCTTCTGTTGGGATGAAGGTATTTTTACCAAATTTGATCAGTAGCATCCTATGGGGTATTAATTTTGTAGCAACGCTTGGTCTGACCCCCCTTGGGGCAGTGGGGCAAGGCCTTTTAGGGGAAACATAGCAAATTCTTCAAATCCCCCTTTTCCTGTAGGCATAACAGGATTTTGTCCAATTGCATATAAATATAACCCCTGACTAACCATGTAATACATGTACACTACTACTAGCAGCATCTGGCTAACATTCCAGGTGAGCGAAACAGGCCCTCTGGGCCTCTTGTTATAATCTAGTTATTTATTTAATTCTTTCTGTTTCAGACTGTTTTAGATCAAGCTACTGACCAGTGGGGAATCCGAGTTGAGCGTGTGGAAATGTAGGTACCCTAAGCTATAGAAACTTATCCGGTAAAAAAATCAAATTTCTGGAATTAGAAATAAACTCAACGTTAAGGTTTTGCGTTTAGCTCTTACATATTAGGCTGTTTCTGACAAAGTATAAATGCTAGAGCAACCAAACTTGGGTTATAGGTGTATCATGGGATGTATAGCTGAATGCATTACACTCTTTACTAGCATTTCAAAGATTTCTGTATTTTTTTGGTAAAAACCTCAAATTTCTGGACTTATAAAAAAACTCAACGTTAAGGTCTTGCGTTTAGCTCTTGCATATTAGGCTCTTTCTGACAAAGTATAAGAGCTAGACCAACCAAACCTCAATCATACATGTATCATGGGTAGTAGAGCCTACTACTCTAAAAACATTTCATGGATGTCTGCATTTTTTCGGATAAAAACCTGAAATTTCTGGATCTTATGAGTTTGCGTTTAGGTCCGTTTCCTTATGTACTTGGGTCATACACTGTAGGTGCACGTGTATCATAGCTGAATGCACTACACTCTTTCCTAACATTTCATGGATTTTGTGGACTCACATTTAGGGATTTTTATCAATTTCAGAAATCACTTACAACATTATGTCAAATGCTTATTATATTGACAAAGCGGGACAGGCGACACATATATTTACACGTAATTCTTGTTTATTAAGGTCCCAAATCTTTGCCCTATAATAATCATGTTGTCCGTCCGTCTGTCCGTCCGTTCTTCAGGTCGTCTGTTAGCACTTGGATATATCTCAGGAACCAGAAGGCCAAAATTTCTGAAGTTTCACATGGTTATACATTGTGATAAAGATATACAATAGCCTATAGGGGTTTTAAAAACTCCTAATGTCAAGGTAAAGGTCACTGATCCTAAAAATTGAATAGGTGATATACTGTCAAAATCAGTTTGTATATGGACGTGTTTACACAGTGGACACCAACTCATTTTTCGGATAAATACCAAACAAACATGAATTTCTCTTAGTGTTTTACTTTATATAATAATGCAATTACTTTTCATGTTTTGGAGCTTTAAAATCACAGGTGGCATGAATGAATATGGCTATTTCTTTTGTTTTATTTATACAATTTTGTTCATACTTTCAATTTTGAGGCAGTGTGGCAAATGAAACAGATCACCTATGTGAATAAGGCCATGACCTATTAGCTTTTGCTTGGCTCTTAATTAACTGGGGGATAAATAGTCAGTCACACAGCGGGGCCCTTGCTGACCTTTCTGTGTTTTAAAGGAAAAGGTGACCATGACAATGACCTGCTGGGTATAACGGCTTTAATCCAAGTTTACATGGACTAGTTTCGACACATGAGGCGTGTCGTCGTCGTCAGAACATCGTAATCCGAGTTGGTGTTCTAGTTATAACTATGAAGGAAATAGTGACATAAGCACTTCTAATAAGCAAATGACACCACAATTATTATTTTGATTTCCTAATATATTATAGGTATAGTGTTTTATTTTAACGATGTTCAAACATCACCCTTTCAATTAAAATGAGAAATCTTTTATAAATACCCGTCCTCATATGACCCTGCTGTTGTGATCATGTTATTCCCCAAACAAACCAACTTTTATAAATGTCTTATCTCCACTCAGTCTGGTATATCCTTTTCTTATCCTGTTTTCAGAAAAGACGTACGGTTGCCACACATGTTGCAGCGTGCTATGGCTGCTGAAGCTGAGGCGTCCAGAGATGCTAAAGCTAAGGTAACAAAATATGAGGCAATTTCGTTGTTTTGTAAAATTTGTGATTACAATTTTGTCAGTTTTTCATCAATACATGTATATGTATTTCATTCAATATTTCAAAAATCTTCTTCTCAAGACCCAGATATGGTAGAATCAAATTCTCTTCATATATGGAAGGGTCTTAAGGTGCTTTACCAAAATTGTGAATTTCTTGACCCTGGGGTCTCACGTTTCCCCCTTGGGAGGGGGTAAACTTTACTATAGTTTATATAGGGAAATCACATTTTGGACCAACATTTGTTTAATTTCCATAGGAAGTAATTCAATTTGGTTTAGCATTATCAGTATTAGGTAGCAGTTTGATAGTATGCACATATGAGCCCTGACTGACCCCCAGGGGCTGATGGGTGGGGCCAAAAAGGGTTGAATTGACTGAAATTTCGAAAATCTTCTTCTCAAGTCCCAGATATGGTAGAATCAATTCCTCTTCATAGATGGAAGGGTATTAAGGTTTATGACCCTAGGGTCTCACGTTTAACCCCTGGGGAAGGAGGAGGGGGGGGGGGCAAAATTTATTATGGTTTATAATGGCAAATGATACTTTGCATATTACATGTTAATAACCTGATTGGAATTATAACCTTGAGTTGACAGTTTGATACTTTGAAAATTTTGAGCCAGCCCTACCCCCAAGGGCTGTAGGGTTGGGCTCAAAGGAGTCAGTGTGCTAAAATTCCTTCATTTTCCTTGTTTAGAATCAGAGGTACTAGTTTCAAATACTTTTTAGTCTGAAATCTGTATGCTAGATATTGAATAAGGTGGTTTTATTTTTTTTTTGTCACTTTGAATAATATTTCTGTTCATGTTAAAAACAAAATCAACTCTCTGTATAAATATATAAGGTGACCGTTAAGTCCCATGGGCCTCTTGTTATGGAGTTGTGGCCCTGTGGTAACTCACCCTTGATATTGTGCATCCAAGTAGTACTTATTTTTCATTCCCACCCTTTTAAAAGTCATGACCCTTCGTGAAAAAAACCTTTGTCTGCCTCCTAAACTACTGGGCCGATTTCAATGAATGTTTTCAGATATGATAACTACCCCCTGGTGTTGTGTATCCAGGTATATTTTTTCCAACCCATTTTGATGGAGTTGTGGCCCTGTGGTAATTAACTCACCCTTGATGTTGTGCATCCAAGTAGTACTTATTTTTCATTCCCACCCTTTTAAAAGTTATGACCCTTTGTTAAAAAAATACTTTGTCTGCCTCCTAAACTACTGGGCCGATTTCAATGAAAGTTTTCAGATATGATAACTACCCCTCGTGCATCAGGGTAGTATTTTGTTGTATTTCAACCCTTTTCAAGGAGTTATGGCCTTTGTTAAAAGTTTTTGTCCTGACAACTCTTCCTTAACTACGAGGACGATTTCAGCAAAACTGGTTCATCTGGGCTAACAAGATTTGGTTTCCTAGTATGTTTTGGGAGGGAGTACAGGAAGTATGTCCGTGACCTACATATGTACTGGTGGGAGACTATGGATTGCTTTACAATGCTTTGCCTTAGTTAGCCTTTGGCTTACAGTTCTAGTTTGACCTGGACTCAATTATCCCTTTTTTTATAAAAGATGAAACAACAAGAAGTTTAATTTTCTGGCTTGAAATACTTCCCTGGGTGGTGATTTTGTTTTAAATTCTGATACTTTGTATTCACAATACCTGGGTAGCAAGATTGGTAAAGTGAAGGACGACCAGTGTATAGGACACAACTGTGGTCCATGTACATTTGTTCTGTATTTATTTCTGTTTTTTAATCAGTTAATTCAAAAAATTGCAGTCCTGTAATATGCATTGCAAACATTATAATTTATTTGGAAATCTAACGTTTATTTGGAAATCTAACAAATCTTGCGTATCTAACGTATCATGATAATGAAAAATGGTAAAACAAAATGTAGTATATTTCAATTTGATGTACCTTTTACCCTAATGAACAACTTTTTCATTATGCCTTGGTGCGTGGTGCGGCGTCTGTCATGTTAAAATAAATGACCTTCACCCATTGTCAAGGTCACAGGGGTCAAATGTGTAAAAAAACATAGTTAAACAACTTCTTCTGAATAACCAAAATGCCCAGGGAGATGATATTTGGCCAGTAGCATGCTGGGGTAAAGGGCTACAAAGTTTGTTCTAATGAATGACCTTCATTAATATTCAAGGTCACAGGGGTCAAATATGTTAAAAACTTTAAACAACTTCTTCTAAATAATCAAAATGCCCAGGGTGATAATATTTGGCCAGTAGCAAGGCTACCAAGTTTGTTCAAATGAATGACCTTCACTCATATTCAAGGTCACAGGGGTCAAATTTGTTTAAAATCTTTAAATGACCTCTTCTGAATAACCATGGGTCCCAGAATGTTGATATTTTGCAAGTTGCATTCTGAGATGAAAGGCTATAAAAGTTGTTCAACATAATGACCTTGTTCGACTTTCATGGTCACAGGGGTGAAATGTTTTTAAAAAAAATTAACAGGTTCTTTTGAATGAATTTTAATCATAAATACTGATATTTTGCCTGTAGCTTTATTTTAGATCACTTTTAAGGTTACAAGTGTGAGATTTATATCAGGTGAACGATGCAGGGCCTCTTGTTAAAATACATGATATGTTGTAATAATATTTTTTCCAAACTAAAAAAAATATCCCCATGTGACACAGGTATTGGCTGCAGAGGGAGAACAAATGGCTGCTCGTGCCCTCAAGGAAGCTGCTGACATCATATCTTCATCTCCCACCGCTCTCCAGCTTCGTTACCTACAGACACTTGGCTCTGTAGCAGCCGAGAGAGAATCAACCATCTTGTTCCCTATCCCGATTGACTTGATGAAAGGAATGGGAAAAAGTTAGTCTCCACAGACAGTGACCGCTAGTGCAATAAGGGTGTGGTTAGGCTGCACTTTTATACACATATTTCTAAGAAGCAGTATCCATTGTTGACATGTAAATACACATTGTAATTTAACGTAATATCTTACAGCTATATGCAAGTACAACCTGTAATTATGTGTTACGTGTGTTTAAATATATATATATATATTTAAGTACATGATATTTCTGTGAAATGTTTTACGTATTTGTAAATACACTTTTTCACTTTAGGTAATGTCTTACAGCAATATGTAAATACAGCCTGTAATTCTGTCATGTGTTACAGCTTTAATAGATACCACCTGTAGTTTTGTAAAATATGGTACAGCTTTATTAGATACCACCTGTAGTTTTGTAAAATATGTTACAGCTTTATTAGATACCACCTGTAATTCTGTAAAATATGTTACAGCTTTATCAGATACCACCTGTATCTATGTAAAATGTTACAGCTTTATGTAAATACAGCCTGTAATTATATGTAAAATGTTACAGCTTTATGTAAATACAGCCTGTAATTCTATGTAACAGCTTTATGTAAATACAGCCTGTAAATCTATGTAATGTCTTTCATAAATATATATATAGTTTCAAACAAGTTACCGTAAATATGATTTTAATGAAACAAGCTTAACCTTTAACAAATTTTAAATCAATATAGTGAAAACGAAAATAGAAAGGTAAATTCCTTTATGACGTCCGAAGTGGTTTCTGTACTGACAATATGCTGTAACAGACATGTTAGTTTCAAAGCAAGATGATACTGGTGCATTTCCTGTATGGGTAACTATTGATAATGTACTAGGATTGATCATATCATGTCTCTATAGATGGGAGCCTACAATGACAGAGTGTAAACAGATTGGTTATTAATAGATGTTTATGTTTATATCCCTCCACATTAAAGTACTTCTTTCTGTTGTTGACCAGTATTGACTGAAATTTTTCACTTCGCTGATAAAAAAGTTAATCCGATGATATTTTTTTATAAAAATTCATTCTTTCCATACCTTAGATGTTGTATTTACTTCAATTGATATTATGGGATGGTATCTACTTGGAATTCACATTCAATTATCAGTTTTTGTTTTTTTGTTTTATTTTGTAATTTTATACCAATTATCGGTGTAGAAAATTGAAATTTATTAGATTAAAGGTTCATCACCATGGCTTAAATTTATAAATTTGATACAACAATTTAGTTTCAAACATCATTTGTTTGACATTCAGCTAGCTATACATGTAATAGTCAAGTTTGGCTATCTGTGAGAGTATGAAGCTGATCCTCCAGGTAACAACATAATTCTCTGTGATATTTTTTGGGAATTCTACACTGTGTTGTAATATCTATTTTAAAAGTAATAAAACAGATCAATTTTTGTTTGACTTGTGTGTTGTGCTAGATAAAATTGACAACTATTTCCTATCATCGTTCATGATCATACAACAACAGAATCGGTGAGATAGATTATTTTGCATTGCTGTATAGTGAATGTTTGTTGTTTAAAGCTGAACTGTCAATCAATACAAAAAGTGAACACAAAGTCAGTCAGTAAAAAATACACAATCAACAATAGAACAAACAGACTTGTATAGACAATGCAGTAGGTTGTACAAACTAAGTAAGATAACTCCTGTAGATCAAGAGAAACTCCCAAGTATGAGTGAAGTAATAGCTCACAGGGACCTGATAATTTGTTACAGCTATATTTGGACCTAAACTAAGGTATTCAGCGTAGTTTTACACGCTTGGGGGGTTTAGATCAATTTGCGGTAAAAAACATCAATGGGGGTGGCAGTTTTACCGAAAATTGATCTAAACCCCCCCCCAGACCTGTAATTATTCTAATCACCTTAGTTTAGGTCCAAATATAGCTGTTACAAATTCTCAGGTCCCTGTGGTATAGCTGGACCAACATAAAGTGTGGATTTTAGATTGGGCCATCTCTTGGCAAAGAAAATTCAATGTTGTATAAATAAAGTGCTGTCCTCCTAGGGGCAGAGGGAAGAGGCTCAGAATTGGAAAAGGGGTCATCTTACAACTTCTACTTTAGGGATGGGAAGATTTTGGAACATGTCTATAGATTATAAGGTACAAGTTCAACGATGTATGTTGTAAGGATGTGTTCCTCCTGATACAGATACAGATGGGCAGGGCTAAAATTAGGAATTTTGGTTAATCGTATGAAGATTTTAATCGAATTTAGTGTAGGGTGTTCCTGGGCCAGGGAATTTCAATGTTTTATAAAGGAGCATATCCCACTCCCCTGGGCAGAGAGGCGGACCGAATTGTGGAGATATACAACCCCCTGTGTAAATGCAGTTTAAGGATAAAGCAGAGACGTATACTGGCTGTATATGTCTTAGGACAAAAGGTACTAAGTTCTGGACGTTATGCTAAAGACTATTATTTTACGGCAGATTTCTCCGTTTTATTGGCGGATCCAAACGAAATGAGTGTTCGTTTTTATGAAACTTTTAAAACTCTATTTTCTGCAAAGTTGTAGCAAACTATTCCTAAAAAGTTTACAGGAAATGTATTTCTTAGATGCCCATAAACTGGTTTTTATTTGCTTTAAAAGCTTGGAATATCAATCAGACAAGAAATTTGGCAATTTTGTAAGTACGTCGTATAGCTAATCACATGAGTTTGTTAGTCAAAACCCTTCACAAGTAAGTCTCCACTCAAACAGGTTAGATAGACCGACTTCCACAGTACCAGTACCCTTACTCAAAACGTTTCTATCCTTACCAGAGACGTGTATATACTACATATATTATATGTATCTGTCCTTACCATGTAGTTCTTAATGGTCTTTTGCACAGAGTGGAAAGTCCATGACGTTATGTTTCCTCATTAATATGCTATGTAGTAATTGATAACTCAATATAGAATTAAAAATACTATTTTTTTTGTATAAAGAAATGCTTCAAGTTTAAGGCTTATTTATATCGCCATTTAAAAGTTATTTTAACTGTTGCATATACAGTTGGCAATATACATAAACATATATAATCAGAACAACATTTATAGCATCAGGGTTTCTCTTTTGACACCAGGAAACAGTATTTACGTTCATTTTCTATACAATTATTAATTTTATCTATAAGATTATTTTGATCATGAAGAGCTCTGTTGGCCTGAATGCAAAGCGCTTGCTATCACTATGGGATAGAAAACTTCCCATCACATCGTCCTTCTTTGACCTAGGAAGCGATCCGCGTACGGGAGGATATAATTTCCGTTCTAAAGAAATTCATTAATTCTATATATATATATGTGCCAAGCCAAAAATATGCCGCGTATAATATCTCCCTAATGTCTGTATAATTTTATTAAACCTTGTACTATGAGGGATGACTTATTTTTGACTGTACAATATCAATAATTTTGTACCCGATCCCAAAGCTTAATAATTATTAAAAATCAAGCTTTTGATAAATTTGCTACTCCAACATTTAAGTAAGCAAATAAAGAATATGCCTAGGTATCCGTTCCGATACTGTGCTTGTAGACAGTTGGTACAGTTAAAGACAATGAGTCACCCAGCTGTTATGTTTCTTTAATCTCAACCAGTAATTAATTATAATACTCTTCAGTCAAAAAATCATTCTTACTTCCGCCATACACTACACTCAACAAAAGACGGTCTGCAGAATAGGCCGCGTTGGATATCTTGTAATGGTTGGTTGAAACAGTAATACAAAATGAAAAATTCTATGAATACTAAATACAAGAATAATGTAAGAAGTTTGAGGAAAAAGATTGAACTTTGTAATAAAACTAACATTGCTTCTTATAGAAAGGATATGCGACACGTTCACGGTACAAATAGGTTACGCTCATAGTTTACTTGTACAGCACTATACGCTGTTGACCGACAACACAGCGTCAGTTATGAGTCTGATTTCACACATAACTCATTCTTGAATTTACACAATACATCGCACGTAAGAATTTTAAATATAATATATACCTCTTATCAGATATTTCTGTTCACATTTGGATTTGAATAAGAACGAACAGGTTCCATTAAAGCATGCACGCCTTCAGAGGGAGAATTTCATATGAAAGGCCGTTCATGTCAAAAACGAGATAAACTAACGCGTTAGCATTTAACGCGTTAAAAATAGTTTTAACGCGTTAAATGCTATCACGTTAAATATATACTTTTTAACGCGTTAAACAATCAAAAATATTTTAAGGCGATAAAATGCTTCCCAAGTTTAACGCGTTAAATGTTGAAATTATTTTGTTAACGCGTTAAAGTGTCAAATGAATGGACCAATCCAATGTGCAGTTTACTGTTACATACAGTACTTATTCTCCCACCCTTCACAGGTGTGTCTCTCGTTTAAGCCGGGAAAGATCAGCTTGTCACCCCCTAGGGGGAGATAGTCTCGTGCCGATTAGCACATGTTCAATTGTGACGTCATTTAAATGCGTCACCGGTAATTGTGATGTCATCAAAAGTGAATGACGCTATTCATACCCCACATATGTTTTTGCTTACACTACTGTCGGTGGAGTTGTGACTGAAATAATAGGTTAGGAGAAAAACAATCTCCTCGGAGTGATTTTTTTGGTTGTCTAACCCTCGGCAGAACCTCGGGTTAGACAACCAAAAAACATCACCCCTAGGGTTGGAAATTACTCTATCACACCCTTAAGGTAGGGGAAGATTCTATTAATCATAGCTGACGACGCCAGGACCTGGGTTTTTTTCCAGGAAATCCTATCAACAGCGGATTACTGTTATCGTGTTAGGCATTGACGGGAATGCTGGCACAAGGGACACACTTATACAAAGGTGCTTGTTTTATAGAATATTGTACTAATAATCTTATCATGTATGAAGGATTATTTTGAACGCTTAACGAACCATAACCATAATCATTACTTAGGCCTAACGTTTATACAGGCAAATTCTTCACATTAGTAACGGTTTCAGTTAATAATTTGTCTAAATATACATCTATCAAAATGCCGATGAACACCAGTCAGTACAGAAAAACTGTTGACTGAAATGCCTATAAATAAACATTGTTGTAAACACGCCTGAATGACGTCACACAGCAACATTTGTACTGATACGAACAGCTCCAAATGTGTGTGTGTGTGTAACAATGATAAACATTCAAATAAATGTTTTTTTCCGAATTAGTTGAGACTTTTGGAATATTTGTCACATGAACGGGGAAACATCAGACGATAATTAATAAAATCTGATCGCTTTTCCTGGATTGTAGAATAAACATTCCGCTGGCCCTATATGATCCATGTAAATTCACCTATTGGAGGATTTATTGACAAACAATATATACCATTAAAAAGCGTGATTTTTTGCTCTTTCAGATGATATAAAATTTATCTGTATTTAACGTAGATTTATAAGCAGATGACATTGGTTAATATTTTATAAAACTAGTTTGTAAACTGAAAAACACGGGCAAATAACTAGTAATAAATTGCAGACGGTGTAATTGGTACATATATTGTTCAACGTTGATCATGAGGTAGAAGCTCACGGTCACTAGATACAAATGAAACATGGCAATAATCTGAATGTGCGAATTTCCATAAAAACGGTACAATTTTTGTATAAAGTAACGCAAGGAATATTTCCGCAAAGTTTCCATATCACAGGGTTAAAGGTCAATGTCGTGGGCACTTGGGGAGACTGAAATTGCAAAGTTCCTAAAAAACAGTACACTTTTTATATACACATACACCGACACTTTGGAAGAGTAAAAATGCAAATTTTCCCTACAATTTCTGTATATACGAAAAATGTTTTGGCAAAGTTTCGAGGTCATATGGGTTAAAGTAAAATGTCACTGACACTTCAGACGACAAAAAATGTCCAATTTCTCATTTACGGTACACCTTTTTTTATACGCTTCTACATTTGCAAAGTTGTAAGGTCACGTGGATAAAGTTCAGAGTCACAGACACATCAGGCGACTGAACATGCTCATTTTCTCCAAAAAACTTAGACTTTTTTTACACATATATATTAGAAAGTTGTAGGTAATTGTGCCAAGACTATTTTGACGAAGTTTCAATTTTCTCAGAAACCTAGGACCCATTAAATTTAATGGCGGAAACCGTTGAAAACAGCTGGGAATTAAATAGCTTCAAAAATTAAACTAGTTCTGAAACTTAATGTGATATATACTATTTTGTTGATAGGTCATATTATTAATGTAATTGTTTAGACTACAAAACTTGAGGAGAGATGTGGCACTAGGGAGGGCAGCGTTTCTGATCGATGACCAATTTGAGAACATAGTAGCGGCTGTAAAGTCCACGGAGCAGGAACTACTGTCTTCTTGTTGCGATTCAGGTATGGTACACATAATAACTCCGACAGCACTTA